GGGGTGCGTCCCGGGGGTGCATCCCGGGGGTGCATCCCGGGGGTGCATCCCGGCTGCTCGGGACATGGCGAACAGCAGAAGCCCCAGCCCCCCCCAGCTGGGTCCAGCGCCCTCCGAAGGTGCTGCCTCGTGGCCCCTGCTACTCTGAACGGCAGCAGAGCAAAGGTAAAAGCCATCTCCTCCTGCCCACGGCCGTGGGACACTCTGCCATCCCACAGAGAATTCGTGAGCATCACTCAAACAACTGCAGCCACGACTGGGTATTCATGAGTTAACTGGGCAGGGAAAAATGCATCGCTGGAGCCCGGCTAGGAAAGGAAGGCAGCAACTAAGGCTGGTGATTGCAGATTTCCTAGTGTTTCTCCCCATTTACCCCTCTGTCCTGGCCAGAGGCTGCTTGTCACAGCCCCCAGCACCAAGACCTCTGCACCCTGCCTGGCCCTCCAAGATGAGCAGCAATAAATTAAACCTCCAGCCTCACCACTATCACGTTTTTCCTCCCTTGAGAGACAAAGGACAGTTTTCCTCTCCCCAGAGCCTGCAGCTCTGCCCAGCATTCAGGAGAAATGATTCATGGAGCCCTCAGAGGGGAGAGCTACAAACCTCCAGCCCGGTGCTCCCTCCTCCTTGCACCTATAATTTTGCTATTGATTAAATGTCATGTTGCCTGGCCTTAATTATTTTTTAATGGATTGGTCAGAGAGGCTAATTACATAGGAAACTGACAGCAAAATGCCACTGGGAGCATTAGTGGAGTTCTTCCACCATCAACCACAGCCCCTGTGCCAGGACACCAAGTCCTGGCAGCTCTGGTGCTGGGCTGTGATTTTTCTGTGATGGAAACAGTGCAGAGAAGCAACTGGAGGCTTCGATATAACTTGTGGCAGCATTTACCCCTGTGTGCAAACAACCTGTGGTGAAGGTGTTGCCTCGGCTGCCCCAGTTCATTGCCAGAGGCAGCAGAGCTGGGCTGGGTGCATCCCCAGAGGCAGTGGGGATGCTCCTTACCTGCCTCTGTGCTGTGCTTTGCTGCTGGCACGGGAACGTTGGAGCACTCAAAGTATTCCAGCTCATCCTCTGGCTCACTCCTCTTCTCCAGCCCGGCTGGTTTCTGCACAGAGGTGGTGGAGGCCAGCTTCTCCTCATCAGTGGCACGTCCATCACAATTTGCAATATCTGGGATTTCTGAGATCAACACTCCCTCATCCTGTAGGATCAAGGCATGTGGTTAAGGAGGACTGAGCTAATCCATGGGGATCAGGCTGCCTGGACAGTTCTGTGGAAAGCACAGGAGGTTTAGCATCCTCTGACAAGCTGCTCCCCAGCAGCTCCTTTGCAGATTTTGGCAGAAGGAAACACATGGTGCTGGGCACTGAAGCAACTAACAAGCAAAATCCATTGACCTGATCACAGAGCTCAGGGCTTTGTTCTGGCCCACGCTGGGGACAGGGCTAAGGCACCACACGTACACAATTCCTAATGAACCACATGGAAAAGAGGGAGGGTTTGCTGGGCAGGAGCCCCCCGAGGAACAGAACTCACCCTGGGGTGAGCACCAAGCCCTCCTCCCTCCCACCCTTCCCACTGGGAACTGTCCACAAGGAAGATGTTTCCCCTGCTCTGGGAGCTGCTGCTTTCAGGGAACCATCCCATTGGTCAGGCATTGCTCCAGCCCAGCTCCCACCCCACTGCTGTCCGCGGAGGGTTTCCCCTTCCAGCCGCTCCTGCAGGGAGAGAGAAGCAGCAGCTGAGGGGGGGGCTGGGGGTCTGGGGGGGAGGGGGAGATGTGCCAGACAGCCCAAGCAAGGGGGGCAGCCCCAGCGCCAGCGTCACCCCTGCCGCAGACCCACTCACCAGTGAGATAACTGAGGCAGAGCAAGTTCTGCAGCCAAACAGAAGGAACAAGCAAACAAAACACAGGACTACGGAGCGAGTGGGTTTGTCTTTGAGGTGTTTATTCCTGTTGAAGGTTAAGGGTGACAGAAAGGACCCCGAGGGGCTGGCGGCGAGAGAGGCGGTTGCCCGGGAGCTGGCAAAGAGGGATTTCCCTTGCTGCACCCTGGTCCAGTGCGATGGCATCCCCACCTCGGAGTGCACGTTGATTTTCTGCAGGAAGGAACCATTTCCAGGCCATCCCATGCCCTGTCCCTGCAGCTGGAGGTTTGCCTGGGACATCTCTGCAGCATCCACGTGTCTCCCAGGCGAGTCAGACCCATTAGAGCTCTGCTCTGCTTCGGGAGAGCACCAGGGCAACCTGCTGTGCCTTGAGAGCTCCCTCTGCCAGAGGTAAACACTGTCCCAAGGAGAAGGGCTTGTGGATGGTTTGGCTCATCACAACGAGGCATGGCACATGGTGATTTATTTTGCAGGCCAACATGCACCCCAAACAAAGGCTGCTTGATCCCAGCCACGCTTTCTAACCCATCCAGGATCTCACAGACCAGCTTCACAGCCCCACCTTGGGCACAGCAGGGATCAGGGGACAGCCACGATCAGCTCTGCTCTGGCAGCCACCAAAGAGCTACAGAGAGCCCTGTCTGGAGCTGGCTGTGATGGCAAAGTGGCCCTGGCACTGCCACACCCCGGAGCAGAGGAGATAGCCCCCAGCTCCCTCAGTTCCCTGCTGATGTTTTCCAGCTGACCCCTCTGCAGCAGTTTCCTCCCCAGGGGTTCTGCACGGGAGGGGGTAAAGGATACCTGCTTCTTCAGGGCTAAAATCTACCCATCTCTGCAGAGACCTGGATTGCAGAGGTTGTGAACTGACACACTGGTTCCCAGCACTTGAACATCACCAAAAAAGGTCTTGCAGGCTGTCACACTGCCAGAGCAAGCTCAGCACAGGGCTCCTTGCAGCTCTGCTCCCCAGCCTGCCCCGGGCACTGGCCCAGGCTCAGCTGCCCCTGGCACAGCCCAAGAGGTGCAGGACACGAATCAGACAGCAGAGAGCACGAGTCATGGGGGCAAGAAAGAGCCTGCATGCCACAGAGACGAGTGGGGCCAGCACACACCCAGAGAGAGAGGACAAAAACCAGCACAGGGAAAGAAGGAAGAAATACAGAAGAGAGTACTTACAACAGAAAACAGAGAAATTTCACTTGTTCAGTAGTCCTGATGCACCAAAGCACAGACAAGGAGAGAGACAGACAGATGGAGAGAAGAAGAGCATGTGAAAAGACCTGGGTATTGGCTCTCATCTGGAGAAGCACAGCTCTGTCTTTTTGGAAGGAACACACAGATAAAGGATGCTCTGATTTTGCAATGGCAGCAGGGTGAGATTTAACCACAAATCCTGCTGCTGGGGGAGGAGAGTGTCTGGAGCAGGTGATAGAGAGGGAGCCTGAAACCTCCCACTGCTTCCCCCCTGGGACAGCTCCCACTCGCCCACGGTCACACAGGGAACGCCAACTCTAGAACATCTGTATCAACACTCTGCAAAGTATTTCTAAGAGAGAAATACCCAACAAACCCTTATTTTGGCCTGGAGGTTTTATCTCTCTCTGTAAAAAATCCACTCTCTGGTTTTCCCACCAGAGAGCTGATCAGCAGAGTGACGACTGTTTCCTGGTTTTACTGTCAAACCAGCCCCAAACCGTGGTGCTGAAATTTCCCCTCTTAAGCTGATTTCCTGCTCACCCCTGCCCTGGCTTCCAATTACATGCGTCAAGTGCAATCACAAATTGTAGTGGAAGGACCCAAAATCAACTAGGCAATTATTCCCCCGTGCAATAACCCCTCTGCCTCCTCAGAGACCCCGTGGAGGGAGGGCAGGGGAGCTGAGCCTGGCTGGGCCAGCGCTGCCCAGAGACAGGCTGGAGGACACGTGTCCTACAGCCTGTGACACACGGAGGGACCAGCAAGGTCCAGCCATTAAACCTGTTCCCAGAGGAGGGGGTAACACTGCCTGCCTTCCCAGGAGGCACTGAAACCTCACTGCTCATGAGGATTTTAAATAGCGCTGCTCAGGGACTAAATATGCACTGAAATAGTGCAGCAAGGGACAAGCAGCTCCCTGCTGCCTGCACAGATGTGATGAAGCAACAAACAATCCCTCTATTTAACCTCTGTTCTCTTCCTGTTATGAAAAAGGGAATTCAGTGTTGGCTCCTAAACACCCCAGCTGATGAACCAGCCCCAGGCTCCAGCAGACCCATCAGCCCTGAGGTCTGCTCAGCCAGTCTGGGGGGGCTCCTGCCTCCCTTATGGCTTTGACCCTCCTGCACCTGAACCCCTGGAGCCAGAGCCCCAAGGGGATTTCCAAAGGGGTGATCCTGCCAAACGGGTCCCAATCCAGCCCTCCCTGCTCTGCCTGGAACCTGGGACACCAGCACTGCTCCAGGACACCGCTCCTGTCCTCCCATCTGCTCCTGAGCAGTGGGGATAGGGGAGCTGCCCCTCTGTCAGGGCACAGGGTGATGGAACCGGGGTGGCAGCAGAACCTGAGGTGCACGTGGGTATTTTGGGCTGGCTCAGAAAGCAGGAGGCAGGAACACCATCACCACCATCACCACCTCCACCACTCTGCCCACGCGTGGGGAGCAGAGGGGGCTGCCAGCCCCCCCGCCACCCGCTCCATGGACTCACGTTATCAGGCGGGACTTGGGCTTCTTCGGGGAGTCTCTGCTTTTCACAAGGTCCTCCTGCACCTCCAGCGTCTGAGACTCCAGGATTTCATTGAGGCTGTTGTCAGCAGTGGGGCAGGAGCCAGCGGCGGAGCTGCTGAGGGTCTTGGTGGGCTTAAAGGGATCCATGGAGTCAAAGTTATTGGGGTCGAACTGGTAAGAGCCCCTGGGGAGAGTCGGCGAGTTCTGCAGCGCTGGGTTGGCACCCAAGGGGCTGAGCTCAGGGCTGTCCCAAAGTGCAGGGCCCAGCCGGGGGGACCCCCGGGGGGGTGGCGGATCCGCGGGACCCCTCCCCCCATCCTCAGCCTGTTTCTTGGGGGACTCTCGGTGTCTCTTCGGTGTCACCTTGCTGGCTGGGATCCTGCTGCCCTTCCTGGATGCTGCTCTCCTGGCCTCCGGGCTCTCCCCTCCCTCCACACGATCAGCCTCAGGTTTTGGGACCTGCCCTTTGGGCTC